TATGGTAGTGGAGCTAGGTTTGTTGAGCAGAAGCTTGCCAGGCCAAGCGCTGTGCCAATACTGTTTTGGCTAGAGTTGAAAAACTTCAATTTGGCAATTGTCGTTTGTAACGACAGCTGGAAATTGTCGTTTGGAATGGACAATTGTTGTTATTAACAATTTTGGCAATTGTCGTTTGTAACGACAGCTGGAAATTGTCGTTTGGAATGGACAATTGTCATTTTATATAGACACAATATGATGCATTGTTGATCAACCGAGAGCTGTGTTGACTAACGACAGCTGTTCTATAAGCAGTTGTCGTATGTAGGAACAGCTCTCCCTTGTACAGCTGGGGATCGTAACGGTTGGTGATTAAACTCAGTTACCCTATTCGGCTGTGCAGGAAGAGGACTCTTTGGCTTGGCTTGGCTTTTACAAAAATCACAGGATAGTTCACGGGCTAACTTGAGAGCTTGTTCACTGGCATTTCCGTGACGCGAAATCCGGACCAAGTCACAATTTGGTGGGTGGCCCAGGTTCCTGTGCAGTTTGATCAAAACCGGAATGAGCTCTGCATCGGTCCGTTGACTCAGGGCATTGACAGCCAAGACCTCTGACCAGCTCTCTTCAGGAATCGCATCTTCGAGAATGCACACCGCAGGTTCCGCTGATGGTTGCATGGGACTCGAGTCATGACTGCTTCGAGTCATGACTGCTCATGCGAAAGGCCTCTACGGTTTGAAGCACTGCTTGCACAAACTGATGTGGGTATCGTCCAGCGTATTCACTGACACTTGAAACCCCTGGGGCACTGCCTGCCACTATGTCATGTGAAGCATGATCACCGGTTCCAGGGCATAACAAACCTAAGGTCGACATGTCTTCATGAGTCACTAGCAACCGGGTGCTCTTGCGGATGAATTTATGACTCTCAGGCAAACGAAGCCCATACCTGCACATGTGCAATTTGACTGTTGTGAATCGACGACACAGGGCTTGAACTTCAGGATATGTCCACAACCTAGACCCCGTCGGATGTTCAAACATTCCCCGACCTCCGAGAGACACTTGTAGCTTGAATAGCTTACAGCACCATCTAATATAACTACGACTCTGTGCCATTCGTTGGAGGTACTCCAGACGGGTCCATTTCGTGCTATTCAGGTGCATCCACCCGCCTTCGTCGGTGCACGGCGGGCACAACACCAGAAGACGTGGCTTCTCTGTCATGAGCTCTTGCTCAACGGCGCTCCTGTGACGGCTGAGGCGGAAATCAAAACCATTTATTAGGTCGTATGACTTGGCACGAAAACCTGCTGCTTCGGCGGCTGTCGTGAACCGAGGGGGTGAAAACACCTCCATGACTAAACACCGTTTGATTTTCCTACCCTCTTGAACTGCGAGGCATGCCTGAGCCTGCCGATGCAATTGTCGACATTGGTGATGAGACGGTTGCCACTCTTCAATCATTACACCTTCAATTTGTTTCCCGACAAAGAAAAACTCAGTTTTCACATGCGGCATACGTTCAAAGAACTTTGCCATCGTCTTGTGTTGAGGGGTCCCTGGATCTATCCGGGTATCATCGATGACTTTTGAGGTCTGGATGTCGGTTACCCGCCTACGAAACACATGCTTCCATGCTGGCCCTTGGCGAGACAACCATGGGGTGGTGACGACATCACAGTCCTCCTGCTCCCAAATCGCCGTGTCAGGTGCTGACGGCGAGGTCAACTCGGGGGGCATTTGCCGCAGGCATTTCCGGCTCAAGCTGCGGCTCATCAACATGCTCATGAGATGCCGTGGGACCTGGAGAGGCCTCCACAGATGCCATCACTTCTGTAAAAGCGGCTGCGGGCGAACACAAGGAATCTTCCCCAGTCAATTGCACTACATACTGTCCAGCACTGTTGGTTTGGAGGGGAACTGTCTTTCCAACACCTGGACGCTCTCATGGCTGTCATGTGCGAAGTCCAGAGTCGCACCCAATGTTTTGAGTGCTGTGCGGCTCAACAACAATGGAGCATCACCCTTGATCACTGCAGCACGAATCACACCTCGGCGATGAGCTAAAACTACAGGCATCTGAATGGAGACCATGGATGTCTCCACTTCACCATTTCCGAACTTGAATTGATGCACTTCATCGATGGGCTTCGGAATTGCCCATCCCTTCTGCTTCCAAATCTTCTCAAAAGCACGGAGGGTGGTCTGTCCAACAATAGTCCGACCACAGCCGGAATCCAGGACACCATAGCCTGGGGACGACACAAGCAGGATCTCCTCTGTGGTGGCTGGAGCATCGGGCTGACTCTTCTCATTCACATGCTTGCGAACTCGCTCCAGCAACGTAGGCGTAGCCATCACTGAGGCCACAAAATCCAGTTCTTGCACCACCGCTGCACCGGATGCAGCGCTAGGTCCAGAAGTCTTTGACTTGCCAGCTCCTTTGGTCGTCTCTTTCGAGCGGCATTCTCGTGCCCAATGGCCTTTGCGGCCGCAACGATTGCAAGTGGAGTTCCTCTTCATCTCCTCAATCTCCACCCGAAAGCTTCGTTTGACATCTCGTGCCTTCTGAAACTGACGAGTTTTCTGAAGGCGGTTCAACTCGTGCCTCTTCTCTTTCCAGGTGGCGGCCAAAACCTCAGCGACTTCGGACTCCTGGAAGGTCTCGATGTCGGGTCCCGCCTCGACACCAGCATGGTGGTCTTCCAACAACTGCTCAACGTCGGAAAAACCATCATCCCATATTTCAGCAGTGTCATCGCCCCCATCCTGTTCCTCGGCCATTGCCACTCCAGCACGCTTGCGAGTCATGACCAGCTCTGGGTAGCAGGATCGAAGTGCGGAGGCGATGGATTCCCGCTTCAAGTCACCTCGAGCCCTGGCGATCACCACCGCCTTTTGCTCTTCCGTCAAAGCAGCTCGATGGAGTAGCAGCCATCCCCTGGCCTCATCCGGGAATGAGACTCCAGTTTTGCGGTGACATTTGTCCATCAGCTCGGATGCCCTGGCGGTCCATTGTCTCATGGACTCGCCTTCATGTGAGCGAAGTCCAAAGATCTCGGTCAGGATCTCCCCCAACTCATCCACTGTCTCCTGCTGAGGGAATCGCTTGTCTAAAATGGCCCATAGGGCATCATCTCCGCCCTTCTTCTGATAGCTTTCGGGATCTAAGTGTTCCACGGCCTCCAAGGCCTTGCCAGAGAGAAGGGTGTATATATAGGCCCCTCTGGAGCCCTCCGCCAACTTGTCAAGCGTCAGCAGTTTGTTCTTCACCCATTGCTTCCAGCGTTTGTACTCACGGCCATCCTCGGAATCCCCCGAGAAGAAACGGAGCCCACCTTCAGTCGAGGTGGAAGACGTCATCGCTGCCATGCGTAGGACCTTCGCCTGAAGGTCAGGTTCAACGAGCCATGGCGGGAGCCTGCTCTTTTGAGCAGGCTCCGCTACCAATTGCGGAGCAACTACCCTTCGGCTGAAGGGAACGATCGGGCTTTTTCACCTCGCGCCGAAAAAAGTCCCTGGTGGAACGACGAACTCATGCCTGCCATGCGTGCAATCACAATATATATAGCGAATATTTTGGCTGCAACCTTTCATGTGGTTTAGGTTCAGTTTTCCTTGGTGTGAGGGATTTGTTCCAGAAATGCAGACTGTGACGATTGACCCCTGCGTGCCTGGATAGACCGAAGAAGCCTCAGTCCAGCGAAGCGAAAGAAGGCGGCAGATGTAAAACAAAGAGCTGTGGAACTGCCTCATAAAAGGTTCAACAACATTTGTGTTATTATGTTTATTCACTTTCTGAGATTCATGGCTCACTGACCATCAGACTCTCGAACAGGTGTTGTTTTTGAATTTTTTTTTTGTGTGTTCGATTTGATTGATCGATGTTCATGTTTCTTGAGGGTGAGTATGGTCCAACCCTCAAATTCAGTGCAGTCCGTATACCTCAAATTCATGGGGAAAAGTCACACATTTGGAGGAACACCTTGGTGCGAACAGAATGTCGAGCATGCATCAGTGCAGGAGTGTACAGCAGTATGCATATATACTGTATAATATGAAGGTAGCACATGGCAGCATTTCGAATGCATGTCGGTTCACATAAGGACGATTCTCGTCAGCATGATTTGTACAAGTTTGACGGGGAAATGATACGGACTATAAAGCAAGACTGGTTCAGAAGCTACAATAGATGTTTGTTTTGGGGAGGTGGCACACGTGGGAAACAGCAAGAGTCCACCTTTTGGAAGTTGCAGGCCCCATGCATTAGTGGGAATTGACAAGGGTTGATTGATCGGCCTAGCCCCTAGTCGATGGGGCGCATTCGTGTTTCAGAGGGCAAACCAACTTACCCATCCACACGATCTTCCTCCCTGTAGCGAACATGCAAGCAAAACAACATTGACAATTGCATTTTTACATAATTATATAAGCTTTCAGCATTGTGCAGTGGACTTTCCCACTGACTGTCATAAGCCCCTCCCCAATCCACAGGCCCCGAAAGGAGCAGAGTCACCAAAATCAGGGACATGGTGGGGTTAACGGTTAGCTGCTGATCTTTGTGTTTTACATGTCGATGATCGTCATAAGAACCGCACTGATATCCAAGCTTCCTGGGCATGTCCCCCAAGACCTCGGCGACACGCAAGGTCTTCCTGCGACAGTATGGTGGAGAGCAGGCCGCAGCTGGGCGGAGGGTTGAATGGCATGCTAGGGTTTCGGCATATTACAGAGGTGCCGGAACGCTACCAAGTATGAGTTGGATTTGTTTGTGAACTATTCCAGGTGTATTGGGCAGGTCGTGGGGGGGCATACCATGTAAACCAAAATTCCAGATTGACATCAATTGAAATATATTGAAATCCATGACGAACGAATGTCAAAACGCAGGTTCAGTTTGGCCCAATCGTGCACCAGTAAGAAGACTAGCAGTTGAGCCAACCGGTTGTTTCGCGATCTTGTCGGTGCAGGCACCCTCCTCGGTGTTGGCGCCGAAGGTGGGGCCCCTGGGGATGTCACCCAAGAAGGTGGGCGATGATATCGTGAAGGGCACCAGCCAGTGGAAGGCAGGGAAGGGCACCAGCCGAAGGTCGCTGCGGAAGGGAATGTTTGGTTTGGAAGGAGGGATCTTGAGTTTGGAATAGTTTTGGAGATTGGGGTTGCGAAGTCTTTTTACAAAACCAGAAATCCAAGTTGAGGGGCTTAACCTCAAAGGTCGCCCCTAAACCTGGTGAGGGGGGCACCTATGCTGCTTGGGTCACATGTCAGGGCATCCGTGTGACCGTGAAGTTGACGATTCAGAACCGCCAAGCCAAAGTGGACGTGGAGCCAAATGCAACGAGCCTCATCATCAAGGCCTTGAAGGAACCTTTGCGTGATCGAAAGCATCTCAGCGGCATCTCATCTCGCACATTCTAGCCACGCAGATCAGCTGCGAAGGCGACACACCGGTTGTGTGGCACATGTCGCCAAACCCCAAAAATAGAACTTGACACAGAACATGCATCCAAAAGAAACATTCTGATTGTAGTTCCCAACCTGGCAGCGGCTATGCTGGCGAGTTTCGATTCGCGATTGCATTGACATTGTGCTGTCAATTGTTTTGCGTGATGTTTCGTGTGCATGTATTTTGCATAGTCCATATAGAAATTGACCTGGACTTGTGATCATGTGCGCCTTGCATCACCTTGCAGCAATGCCCTAGGAAGACCAAGAACATCAAGCACACTGGTAACCTCACGAAGAACGTCTTCCTGGACATTGTCCGCCAGATGCGCAAGAAGAGCTTGGCCAAGGAGTTCAAAGGCACCGCCAAGGAGATCCTGGGCACCTGTCACTGAGCAGCGAGGAAAAGGTCTGAGACGGTGGAGTGAAACTTCCAGTGAAACGGCTCAGGACGGTGGCTGTGGAGATGTTCACCAACCACCCCTCTCAGACCTTTAAAGCCTGCCCTCTGAGCCATGAATCCACAGCAGTGACCGAGGCTTCGCCGTGGGTTGCACGGTAGATGGCCAGAAGCCCGGATCCCTCCAGCAGGCCATCGATGATGACGAATGGGAACTCCCAACCGAGTGAGGCGACGGGGCACAGGCGTACGTGTGGAGGGATGGGTCAAGCCAGAGTGAGCTACCCTGTTGGGATGCGGACAAGTGGAACATGGGGAAGCTGGGAGGCCATTCTACACTGATTCTACACCCAACTAAAGAAAGAAGAGTTGTGGATGATTTGTTTGAATGTTCTCTCGCAACCGGGAAGACCCGTGAAATTGTGAGCACAAAGACATTTTTGAAGGACCTGGGAGCATGAGGAACATCAAGTATTGTGTGTTCTTGCGCGACTCTCATGAAGAGGTTGAGCTGAGACTAAAATACAATAAAATATATGTAGGTGAGGTATGGTGAGATGTGAAATGCTGGTCTTAGAGTCTCAGAATTGAAGAATGAAAACCGGAGAACTTGATTGAAAGTCCAGTTTGATGACGTGACACCAGATCACTTAACGTTCACATGTTGGACACATACCAATTACCCGCTCCGCATGATGGCGATGCAGGACCATGAGCGGCGGACCGTGCATTTGGATCGGCTTTGCGCAGAGAAAAGGGGGTCGAACTTCATCGCTCCATGACTGCCACGGGGGTGAACTGAAGAAATATAGACAGACCATGACATGTGCCCACCTTGCAAAATGATGTTGGCGATGTATACGGTACATGGTACTGTCTTTGCCAGCATCATTCCCCGTGAAACAAATGGAGAAGCTTTGTCGCTGAAAAGGGGCTTCCAGATGCTTCCAGTTGCTTCGTTAGCTGTCCATTGTCGATGGAGAGACGGGGTGGATAAGAATACAGCATTAAAGAATGACGCTGTAACATGCGCTTCAGCAGCGTCTGGAAAGTGATGGGACTCATGGTCCCAAGGTGTCACTTAGTGAAGTTTCAAGATATTGACACCAGCTGTTCTGCGTTGCATTGCTTGTGGTTCCTCACTGACCTGCCAAGTTTTTTTACGCGTTTCTCGCCGAGTGAAGTCACCGCGTCAACCCAGGCCGTTAGCGGCGCAGTCGTGGATCCCAATGCCCGGTGTCCTAGCTGTACACCGGTGGAAAGGACATTGCGATTCGGACCCTACTTGCACACGGGCCTGCATACGCGATTCGGACCCCGCATTCGTTGGTTTGTTGTTGTTTGTGTATCTCCAGGGAGACCTGCTAGTTTCACAGAGCATCATACATGTAATGTAGTGAAGGGCAAGGACAAAAAGACCAATTGTTATATATACGTATATATCACTATATAATATATAATTGTGCGTGTGCGCGTGTGCGCACCAAAAAAGTAAAAAGTAGTTAATTTATACATGCACATTTATCAACTATATAGCATTTTATAACATCGATGAAAGCTTCTTCCCAAAAGAATTTGGTTCACCTTGAGTTGGCATTGGAGTCAGGAGAGGTTTTGTCGCGTAACAGTATTGTTGCATTTTCCAATATTTTCCAGCATCATGGGAGCTGCAAAGCTCCAGCTGATGGAGTCTAGGTCCTTGCTGGCCTTGGCCGATCCAATGAGGATGCTTGTGTCTATCAGGTGGGAAATGTTTTATGAGGAGCTCAGCTGGATTTCTTCACCCCAGCAGGTGAGCGACGACATTGCGATTGTGGGTACCTTGGACTTCTTCACCCCGATCGTCGACGAACCTGAGGCAGCACCAGATAGTACGGACATGGCCCTGGCATGGATGGGTGACATCGAATTGTGAGTTCAATAAATGCGCTACTTGTGGATAGAGAAGGAGGGAGCGTGAGAGAGACAGAGTGAAACACACGAACACACACACAAAGTTTGCCACTCAGGGGTTCCAAAGGGGTAGCTTTTGTTGGTGCGAGTCAGTGTTTGACTATGTTTGACTGTTTCACATGGATGTTCATCCTTCTTAGCTCGATGCTATGTTGCACATGTTGTGTGCGCCATACTTTCCGCTGCGGATCAACCGTGGGTCATGTCATCAGGTCTTTGGCGGCATCGCGGCGGCGAATGCCTTGTCAGATGTGTGCGCCAGGGATGGGCTCCTCACTATCCCCACTGTGACCTGTTTTCAAGACAGGCCTGCCCCAAAGCCACATCCCAAGACTGGATTGAATGATTTGAAAGTGAAGAGGGCAAGGCCCAGGGGCGATTTTCAGTGAAGCTGCCTGACCCACAGCCGGCGACAGACAGTACGGACAGACATACGGAAGGTATGCAATGGGTGCCAAACCCATTTTTGCCATGAACATTGCCCCGAGCTGAGCGAAAAGTTGTATGACCGATCTCTGGTTTTTGTTCTCGGTGTTCATTCCGGCAAAACTCTGAAGACTCAGCGGGGTTGAAGTCAGCAGAGCACACCACTTAATTTTATACCTTGTTGTTTTGCTGAGTAATGCTACCAAGGTGGGCTTTCCATCCAATCGCCTGCCGCCATCCGTATTGGCCAGGCTGGCGTGCCAATGAGTTGAATAGAGCGTCGTGTGCAGTTTGGCCAGTTGGGGCACAAGACAGCACGCGGATGTTGAAGATGACTGTGATGTCATGATACACGGTACCTGTTTTGGCTGCAGGATACTCAAGGGCGGCCGGGACCCTAGCAGTCTTGTAATGCCAGAGTAACCTCCATCACAAATACGTGAAGAAACTCGTCGATCCTTTCATGCCTTGGTCAGCTTGGAGGAATCAAGTGGTTTGTCAAAACAAAAGCTTTGCTGCCGGATGCTGTGCGATTGGCCGCCCAAAAATATCCAACACCGAATCCACATCGGTCTTGATGGAATCATGGCAAGCAAGACATGCATCTACGAATGGTCATTTTTGTTGCCATTCCATCACCGTCGTCGCCATCATCATCATCATCACCACCATCATCACATCAATGTGCTCAGCAAAATGGAAGAAGTCCCACTCATGAGCCTGTGGGAGGGTTCTGATGGGATAAAAGTGTATATGTACTGTACAATTATGTACATATATAGTTGCACATATATAGCAGATGCGGCAACTCCCTGCGCATTTAGAAACCAAGATAGGGACTCGTACAAGCTATTTCACACTGGTGTGCACAAGTTGTTTTTTTTTCCCCATCCCCAGCGCCTTCCATTGTTTGTTGGCATGACTGTCAATCATTTTAGACTGTCATCAGGCCGTGCACAAGGCGAAAGAGATGACATTACGAAGCCTTTTGGTTGAGGGTCCTGAGGGTCCCCCTTCTTGAGTTCTATATACAACTCCTGCACCTGGCCTTACCGCCTAAAACCCCCCCCCAAGCAACATGCTTCTTCATTGGCAATTTAAATGCCATGAAAGCTGAAGGCTTCACTTCTTCCCTATTGTTGTTTGAGGTAACTATTGGCCCTTCCATACCCACACCAGCCATTCCTTTTGCTTGGCGGTTGTTTTTGAGAATCTTGATGAATCTGGTGATATGGAATGTAGATGGCTCGGCGATCTATAGGTCAATGGTTTTGGAAGGCCCGTTCTGCTCCGTTTTCTCCAACCGCTGCATGAATGGACGAATGCACCAAGGCCAGGAGAAGTGTGCCGAGGCCAAAGTCTCGATTTTGGGCGGCCACACGGTGGAAGATTTGGAGCCCAAGTACGGCCTCGCCGTGATAGGTGGGCAGTCCAAGTCGGCGGAACATGCTTTTTGCTTTGCGTCTTTGACGTGATTGGCAGTGGGAGCTCATGTGGTTTGGGTCCCTCACGTTGGGCGGAATTTTGGTTTAAAGGAAAGGTAATGGAATGTCAGGTGTGATCCCACTATATCCCACTTGATGGAGAACGACCTGTGCAGCCATTTGCCGCACGCCTCAATCAACCCACAGAATATTGAACTGAGGTGACGCACCCAAACGGCATCGAGGTTCAAATCCTGGGTAGATCCCCAGAAATAGATCGTGTGTATATACTTCATTATACTTCAAGTTCGCTGGGGTGCCGTTGTTGGCACCACCGAGGGATCATGCAAGCGTTCAAATCTGCTTTGGGTCCGCTTTGACTGCAGGTGTGGTTCACCCGAAGAAGGCACGGCTGGTTGTATGCTTCCTTCATTTGGATTGAGCTGTAAAAGCCCTTGGTGGCGAACATCGGCCTTCCAGCAGGTTTGGCGCAACAACGCCTTGCGAGCTGGCGATAGCTTGATTCTGACCAAGCCGCCGCAATCTCAGCAAAGCACGGCACAAACAGCCGCAGCTGTCCCGCACTTTTGGAGCCACCGACCAAGTTGTTAGTTACTGCAACCAGCCAAGGGGGTCACCAGGACCAAGCGAAAACTCAAGTATGGTTCCCTTGCTTTTGGAAGTTCCAGCCATATCAAATGTGTAATGTTGACTCTTGATTAATCAACCCCCCCCGGCCCCCCCCCTCAACAACCAGGGCCTCCAATATAATCTACTAGAAAACTAATCAAAGGACCAAAATGAAAAGAATCCTTATTAAAATCTTCTTGGCCTTCTCTGGCAATATTAAAATAAAAGGGAATCAATGAAATCTCAAATTTGGAATACTAAAGTAAAAGGAAATCAATAAAGTTGAAATGGAATTCTCAATATTTTAATGGAAATCTAAATCCAAAGACCTCCAAAAGCATCAAATCTCAATGGAAATCTCCAAAAGACATCTGAAATATGAATTACAATAAAAGGGAATGAATCAATGCAAATAGAACTAACGTGTTAAAGTTCAATGGAAATCTAAATCCAAAGACCTGCAATTTCAATGGTAATTAAAGCAAATCAAAAGGCAAAGAAAAGGAATAACGATTTAAAGCCTCAAATCTCTAGACATTATTCTAGGGCCCCCCCTAAATAATGTCAGAAAGCTGCTTGCTGGACTACCCCCTTTGCTTGAATGATTTTTTTGTTTTTCAATACTTTCGAATAAGGAATGTTATAAAGAAAGTGCGCACCGACTTTTGGAAACTTTTGGAAAGCTTCAACACTAAAGAGCTTAGGAAAAGTAAATAAGGAATAGAGGGTGAGTAAAGCAAATCAAAAGGCAAAGAAAAGGAATAAAGATTTAACGCCTCAAATCTCTAGGCATTATTCTAGGGGGCCCCCCTTAAATAATGTCAGAAAGCTGCTTGCTGGACTACCCCCTTTGCTTGAATGATTTTTTTTGTTTTTCAATATGTTTGAATAAGGGATTTTATAAAGAAAGTGCGCACTGACTTTTGGAAACTTTTGGAAAGCTTCAATACTAAAGAGCTTAGGAAAAGTAAATAAGGAATAGAGGGTGAGTAAAGCAAATCAAAAGGGAAAAAGTAAACTATAACAATAAAACATATTCCACTACAACTATCCCTGCCAAAAAAAAGACATTATTCTGGTGGCCTTTATTAATCTGTGCAGGAGAAAAACAAATACATTATTCTAGGGGGCTTTATTAATCACAGGTCAACATTAGTGTGTGGTGTTTGGTTGTCATATTTCATATTAGTTCCTCGGTTGCAGCCGGGGCCGCGACATCAATCTGCCTCCGATGCCAAGGATTGGAACCGGAATTCTGGGAACTGCACAGAAGAAAGGCTGGTCAACATGCCACTTGCTTTTTCCCCTGAAGGAAAACACTTGGCCCTGGGATTGTTGGTGCAGTCTTCAACAAAACTGTAATTATGGAGGCCTCCACGGACAATAAGCACCAAATGTTTGAAAGCAAGGGATGTGTTGAAGGCTGCTGAGAGATACCATCATGTAGTCAGAGCACAGATTGAACCACCACACGGCAGGCGTCTCATGGCTGGACAAGATATTTATTTATATTGTCTTTCTAACTATTATGATGCTATTGTCTTTATTCAATACTCCCTGGCTGTGGTCACTTGTGAAGATGGCGAAGCTCAGGCTTGCTGGAACCTGGGACGCGGAAGCAGCTGGAAGACACGCTGTCAGAGACTAGGAGAGTTTCAGAGCGGCCATGTGGCTGCCATGCACGATTTGCTTTGGGCAACGTTGGTCAGTGACGAAAGTGGGCTGCTCGCCGGTGGCCTCTTGCCTTCAGCAAGAATTGTGGGAGCAGCTCCAATGTCCAATCAGAACAAGTGCCTAAACAGCATGACAAAAGCATTTTGCACTTACAAGACGCACACAACGGCATCCGTCCACAACGCACCCTTCAGATAGTAGCAGCACAGCGCAGGGAACGAAAGAGATGTTCAGTTCATGTGTTTCTTTCACTATGTGTAAATGATGACAAATGCCTTGGAGCATTATTGCTCATCTCGTTGGCGACCATTCAATAAATTGCCATCCAATCGCCTGCCTGTTTGGTGCTTTTCATGAGGCTCCAGCTGAACAAGACAGCCGCTGAGGTGGCGCATGCCGAAGCGGAGGCCGTTTCGATCAATCGAACGACGGATTTTTGTGGTACGGTATGAATAGTTGTTGGATTTGTGCCAGGTGCGGTTTGGGAACATAGAATCCACTTCTGGAAGCGCTTGTGAGGCAATTGTGATTTGCCCTTTCATGATTGATAGGGTATCTTATTGGACGACAGAGATGTCCAACATGATTGTTTTTGGATGTTTTTGGTATTAAGAGGTTGCAAGGTGGACCTATTCAATTATCTCGCAAAAGAAAGTAGACTGCTCTTGTTCCATTAAGGAGTCACTTTTTGATTTATTGGGGGGGGCCGTTTGTTCAGGGTGTGTATTCAACATATCAGTATAAGTCGATCCTTGGTCGGACCTGTTCCGGGGATGATGATTGTACTTTCAGTGATATGCTCAGCTCACATATAGAAAAGAGCACCAGACTAGACCCATGCCTCTCAAGGGGCTAGGGTGCAAGCGAAGGAAACAAACCAAAACACTCTCGGTCTACCAAGTCCCAGTCAACTATATACCTACCCAGTCCCAGTCAGTAATCAACTTCCACATGTCATACGGTTGATGGACGAAATCCTGCATCGATAAAGCAACACATGAGGTCCTCCAATAGTACAGACCCCCATGCCCGCCAACTCAATGTTGTCTCTTCGCCCCGTGTTCGGGGCCAGGTGGGACAGCTCACGAGATAGTTTCAGTTGGTTACTGTTCTATCTCGACAGAGCTAAGGTACCACAGCTCCCTTTGCAGGGAGCTGACCGTTCGACGACTGACCTGAATATATATATATATATAAATATCCGTATGTGTGTCTCCTATAAGTCTCTCCGCGACAGCTCGGGTCTCGGGATTCTCTCTTTGGCTCCGGGACCCCCCTTGAAGCCTGAGGTCCACGCAGCCACGGATGTCACTGGCTTTGGCTTGTCATGGGCCCGGTGGATTTGGTCGTGAAGCGTCGATCAGCAGAGATCTGACTTTGGGTTAAGAGAAGCCGATTTATGAGCAATTCCCTGATATCCAAGATTGTTCCCGCACCGAGGCTGGGACATCTGAAGGAAATGCTCACACCAGAAGACTCTGAGCCTGCAGCTAAACGAGCGCGAGCCCGAGCCACAGATAGAAGATGTGAGAAGCATCACCAGCCAGATTTTCGAGCTTTTAAAAAATTCCCTTTCAAAACCCGCATGTTGTTTCTACCACGTGTCGGTCAGTTCCTTTCGTCCCAACTGCTTGGGAGACCCACTGGCATCCCACATCCCCAAGCCATTTGTCAGTGTAGAAAACCGGAGCTGAGAATAGAGACGTAGCAAAATAGATCAAATCACAGCAAGTCAATCGATGTGTCCACCCCCTCGTGCTTTGATGGGCACCTGAAGATGCCGGTTGGCAGGAACATCCGGCTCCCCTCAAAAGTGGGGGTGTCTTATCCAATTGGACACTGGGCAGCGAGGCGCGACAAGGAAATGGTGAAAGTCGCAGTCTTAGAAGTGGACCGCCCGGTGGGTGCCTTTTTTGCAACCTGATCCATCTGCCATGTCCTGTCTGTGAGACGGACGCACTGCTGACTCAGATGTCGAGCAGCGTAAAGCGCGCTATACAAAATGCAACCTGATCATGTTCGGCAAGGTTTCCCAAGAGCTAGTGACAGTATGACAGTATGTTCAAAGTGCATCAAAGTGCTGGGGCACCCTCTCATGATGTTCTTTTCACGTTCTCCTTGATTCTCAAAATTCCAGATGGTTGGATTCAGACGCATCATACAAATCATTGGTTACTGTTGGAGGTTTGCGAGGTGCTTGAAGCAATGGTTAGTGTCACCCGTCCCCCACGATGGAACGAGATTCCCCTTCAAAGGGAGCATTTTCGCCACAAAGAATGCCCTGAGATGCCTGACATAGTAAAATTTGCATGCTGTGAATTAAGGTCGCCCTGAGAACACTTGTGTTTTGTGCCTTGTTTTCTTGAAGGTCGTGTCATGTCACCTTCGCCTTTTGGCTTATTATTATCAACAGTGCCAGCCGGTGTTCGCTATTCAAACGTGGCCTAGGCCGGTTCTTGTGCGCTGTGATCAGTGCTCAGGCCAGTTGCATGGATATCACGGTGCTCACCCAAAACGACTCACGGAACACATTGAACACCTGCATAGTTATAAGTATACTGTATAGATGTGGGAAGACTAGATTGTGTCCATGCAGTTAATGTTAATGTCAGCTTCCATTTGATTCTTGGTTGCACAATCGGACTTGGAGACCCTTCTTCCCGCAATTCATTCAACACTATGTCAGCTCCGAGATCAAAGGTACAGTATGTCAAGTGACTTGGGCCAGTAGCACGAGTCAGGCCCACAAACATGGCCGAAGACCAAGCAAGCACACCGAAACAAACGATTGAATGAGGTTCCGGCCAGGATTTTGCAAGGGAGAACGTAAGCACTGGTTGTTCCAGCCTTGGGCAAGTGGGTGATCCCGAGCTCATAACGATGATTCGAGGTCCCATGTTTCTTATTTTCCAGATTGTCCCTTGAGTCATGACTCATACCCGTCATAAGCAGATCAACAGAGCAATGGTGTGATCAGGCAGTGCCTTTGCTGCCACAGGAGCGGAAGCAGCCAGTTTGGGCGATTGAGGGTGGACTGCTGAAAAGAAGCAGCCACGGCAAACTGGCCTTGTAATGTGGGTTTGCTCGCCATCCAGACCGCAAATCCTGCCATACTATTTTTTTTCTTGGGGATGCCTCATGCCCAAGTTTGTACTGTATTGTGGCAGTTCACAGTTTCAAGCAAGAGGCGCTAGCCAACTTACTCTTATTGAACATAAGACAACTGCCAACGTGACAATTGCCAATTAGCATAGGACCCTAATCACGAAAGGTAGCTTCAGCTACCTGAGTTCTCCTTGCTTTAGCAAAATGTATTACAATCTGGAGTTGGGATTATGCATTGCATTTGGTCCTGTAAGGAGGGATTCTGTTTGACATGGGGGGGGGGCGTGGATCAAATCCCCCGTGCGCCGTCGTTGTTTGGGTCATAATCAAGAAGTGAACAGGAGTTCGAACAGAGCTTTGACTCGTGTACTGCAAGACCAGCGATGATGTGCATGTGAAAGATTTGCTACCTTTCGTTCACCCCTCCTATCTCAAGTCTGGCAAGCCGCTTGTGAGGTGGAAAGACACCACCTTGATTACCTGTCAAGTGTCCCCCCCTCGCACCAGGCCAAAGACTTGGCTGGAAACGATCAATGCGCAAGGGCCTCAAGGTCTCAAAAAAACACTAGAGGTCGCAGGGGGTAGGCTATATCAGGCTGGTAGGTAGAAGGGAGTCCTTTGTGGCCATGGATTATTGTATACTATGGCGGACTTGCAGTTAGAATATGTTTTTGTTCACGTTGCAGTTATGGCCATACACAGAGCGGGGGGGAGATCGGTGACCACATGCAGTTAGAATATAAAGACGCAATGAAACGAATACACAATCTTATCAAAAACAACTGTGGTGATTTGCAGCGAGTGAATTTAATGTAAACCGGTACTATAATATATACACTTTGTTGTTCAACTGGTGAAAAAAACAGAACTTTTGGAAGGTTTGGGAAATTAATTGCAGTTAAACATGTTTCATATTTCTTTGAACTTCATATTCTAACCGCCCGTCCTCCACTGTACTATGTGTTGAAGATGGGGAAGCCTTCAACTGCGTAAATTGACCTGCAATGGCTCCGTTTCTTGGCATTGAAAAGCTCCTCGCACACCCAGCACCAAGGTGCCTGGAGGCTCTTTGAATAACTTGAAGTTGGTGGAACCCACGACCTGCTTCCCGAAGGACATGCGTGACGACCTCGTGCCTCCTTATTTCCCTTTTGACGTTTGCAGAGCGACAACACCCTTCTGAAATTGAATCGGAGGGTCGGAGGACTGTAAAACGTTTTGTTGAACTCATTATGCCTTGTGTGCAAAGAGGCCAAGTTCACGGACAAAGAAGTTGGGACAAAAGCCCCTCTTCGTTTTGGGGCTGCTCAGCGCAGATGGACACGTGGCTCACCCAACCTCGGATTGTTTGTGGTTTAGAGATCTATAGACACTCCAGTGTTCTTTGCGCGTTCCTCTTCGTGCGCCGATGTTGCCAAGCAGTTTTTCAGTACCGAGCTTTGACAACTTCCTGTGAGCCACTACAGTCACTACTACAGATCTTTCCAAGTGCTGCGCAGGGCATATCCAGGGAAATGAAGCTTCTGCTTGCAGACGCGCTACACTCAGATGCCGTTCGAACATCTAAGAACAGGATTGTCGTCGCTTTCTTGGGAGGTGGGTGTTGGATGTCAAGAGTATTGCTTGTGATGGGGTCTTGCCTGGTGGATGCATGGTTGCGACGTTCCTTCTAGTGCTTTGTGTTCTTTTTTTTTTTCCACGAGTACGGACGCCGTGTGGGCATGGTGCCCAGGTCATCGTTCTAGTGCTTTGTGTTCTTGATAGATGGCACTTGACATATCTTGGCATGCTGAAAGCATCCGGTCCCCATCCGGTGGCATGATTTATTTGGTGCAGACCATTTGGAACACCCAAGTTGATCAGCTTCCAGGCACAAACCTCTGGAGGCCTTTTGTTGGTGCGCGCCTCGGGATCGAGGACTTCCTGACGTTTCCCATACTTTGTTGGATTGATGATGAAACTTTTTGTGTCATGAATGGAACAACAACCGCCCATTCAGGCCGTGCCTGGAGATGGGTCGAAGTTGGTGGCCTTTGGCTGAGCAGCTGAGGTTCTGGCAAAGCCTGAGTGAAAGGTGTAAAGTGTAAAGTGTAATTTAAACAAGAAGCCTGTTCCTGGTCCTAGACATTCCTTCTCGACCTGAAGGATTTTCAATACGGTCATTGAACATAGGCATGCAAAGGTTGACTGTTGGGGGGCCCGTGGCTGGCTTGCAGAATTTGCTGCCTAAGGCTGCTTTGCAGAAAGTGTGCCGCTGAGAGACAACAAGGAAATAAATCAGAGCTTGTTCTGTTGGTATACCTCAGACTCAGACTGAAGACGAGTTCATTTGCATAAATTGCAAGACTGGTTATGCCTCCAGCTGACTTCTTAAAGCATGTTAAAGCGCCACCAGATATTTCGATAACAAGATTCACCCTGTCCATCGCTCATCATGTTCGGAGAACCAATCAGGCATGTGGCATCCATGGAACATTTAGAGGAGCATAGAACCGATCACATGCCTCTTCGCCCTTCCGTAACATCAACTGCCCCGTTCGAATAACTCCGCGGCCTCAGGCCGGTTTGCCCAGAACCGCGCGGATCGGAGAGGCCACGGAACGAGGGGGAGAGGGGCACCAAAGGTGGTAAACATGTTCATTCTCTCTCCGAACCATGGAAGTCTGGAAGTGGAACACCCTTGGTTGTCAGGGCAACTAGGAAACTAGTCTTCCAATGTCTTCCGAAGGTTCTTATTGGATTGGATGTGGAAGAACTGGACAAATATGGACACCAGAATGTGGGGAATAATATTAACAGACACCGTGACATTTTTTCAAGCACGTCTGTATAATTTGCATATAGGTTGGGGGTGTCCCCGTACCTGTAATAGTCGGCAAACAGTTTTCACTATTCTAGTCCTTTGCTAGCCATCATCATCCACTGTTACAGAGAATAGGATATACCCAATATATACATACGACAGGCATGCTTGCATTGGCAGAATGGACATTGTCTGTAGAATGGGGAGACCTTCAAAGACCAATGAAAGGAAAGTAGGGTCGAGCCCATTGGTTGGGGTGCTTGGGAAATGTATTTTGCAGAGGCGCACGGGAGAGCTTTGAAGCGCTGGCTGAGGTCAGAGAAGCAACACAAGGAGCCACCATCGTAGTGGAACCCTGAGTGCCAAAAAGAGCGGCTGGGTGCGAACAATCACTGGACATGCAACGTTGATCCGTTGATGCCAAGTTCTTTTTGCAGTTGTTTTTGTTCCATCCAAATATGTCGTGTTGCATTTCTGGAGTGCCTAAGCGCCAGAGACAAGTTTAAAAGATGTGTGCATGTTGCTCATGTTTAAAACTTGTTTTAATCTTTTTAGGTTCCAGAGGAAAAGGCTGCCACCTCGCTGACACCTGCCAGACCTGCCATGGCCCGGTCCTCCAAGCTCATCACCTTGGCGGTGGCCCTGACCTTCGCGTCCTTGGCACTCCAGAGCCTCACCTTCCTCGGCGTACCCAGCCGCGCGGGTTCAGCGACGACGGTATCCCCGGCACACCTGGCGACAGCCGCAGCGGTGCCGGTCTTGCTGACCCCCACGGCGGCCTTGGCGGCGGATGGCGGCATGCCCTCAGTGGTGCTGGGAGTTGGTGCCTTGGACTTCCTGGCAGGGAAGCACTGGGGGGACCTGCTTTGGTTACCTTAGGCAAGATTATAGGTAAGGGTGGCTTCATGCGCACGGGAAGGACATATGCGATGAACATCGATGAACTATGAGCAGCGAATTCTCACGACATCCATTGAAATCCCACTTTACTATGTTGAGATGAAATCTTGATGACATCTTGGACGATTTTGCCCAGCAGACGCCTTTAAATTTCGCTCAGGCATTCTTTGCATGCTGGCAGCCTTCAGTGCAGTGTCCAGCGTAATCAGTGCCACCGTCACTTCAGAGCTTGACTAAGTCATTTCAGCATCATACTTGGAGGTCGAAAGGCAATGTTTTGCAACGTCAGGACCGTCAGGAGGGCCTCAAGCAAGGCCTCAGGATCCTGCCAGCTGACGAGGAATTTTTTCTCCACCCTCAGCGAGCGAAAAAAGGAGCAGAGAGCTGTGGATTGGCTGGAGGAGCATTTGTGGGGTGGTATTGGTGCTGCTATCTATAATATTTGCAGAGCTTGGGGGTTTACTCCTTGACGCTGAAAGAAGCCGGGTGATTGTGCGGCCTGTGGCTCGAATTTGGATCAACTGCCGAGTCCCGCTTAGAGCGGCCATACCTCTTTTTTTTGTAGCCTTTGCGGACTTTGCGGGTGTCCAGACGCTGCCATAGCTTGACAGCCCATACTCAGAAAGAGATGAGATACCCCTCTCCCAAAATTGGAAGAAAGAACACCCCAGTTTGAACAACTAGACACTTGCCTCAATAAAGCGAGTGACTGAGAGAGCGAGAGAGAGAGAGAGGGAGACAAGAAACATGTGAAGACATTTCAAGTATACATCATGCACCATCAGTTTTAGTTGCTGAAGGTACTCATGAGCAGCCCAGTATGTGTTGAAATAGGTCAGAGCAGCCTTGCTTGCGATCGGGAGCGTCACCATGGGTTGTTTCAGCAGTCGGCCGGAGCCCAACATCGAGCTGGTACAACCAATGTGGGTCATGAAGGCCACAGAGCTTTGGACCAGATCAGTCAGAAGGCTGTTATTTTTGTCAGATTGACTAGGTCTAGGTCCAGGTATACTAGATTATACACATGGTTGTACATGTGCCTTGACTTAGGGGGAGAATGCGGGACAACATGTTATAATAGCTTGCTTGGTGTGAGCTCACACCCGTTCCGTTTTCTTGATGCAAGGCAAGGATATTATATATATATATATTATAACAAGTGGAGCAAGAAATGGTGCTTGAACCAATGTCATGCTCTGTCAGGTCCTCTTCAAGACCTAGTCTATAAAATTCTTAGTGTTAGCTCAGATGGCTTGGCGGGTGGCCCTGGTCTTCCACGAATCTTTGTAGTGATAAAGTATGATAAACTTATTGCGTGGTTGGAACTATTTCATGATTTTAGATCAGCACCACAAGGTTCGTTGCCCCAAATCGTGTTTCATTATGTTTCATTTGGTTTTCCCACTTCAAAAAATAATATAGTGGGTGGCTCCCGTTCCATGTTTTGAGGGCCTATGTGTGCCGTCTATGTTAGGTCTAGGTGGTGAAAGCTGGTAATACTTTCTTTGGACCGATTGGTCAGGACTTTGTGAAGATGGAGCTTCCCCTGCCCAGTCATGAGCATGTGCGAAAGCAAGGCGTGGCGTGTGAAAGTAGGGATTCGTTTGGTAAAACGGTTGGGGACGCCTAACTAACGTGTCGAACTCAAGGAAGCCCTGGGTGGGTGTCTTCTGACGATTCCGGGACCGCTGGTTGTAGCATTGCGTGCTGTGGCGTGTGCACTTTCAAGGCACAAATTAAGTTGAAGGTGTCAATAGTTGTCACAAGACAAGAGGTACAGAAATCAACGGCGTGCTGGTGGGTTACTTTCAAATATAGTGAGAATTCTTTCAGGAAACGCGGTCAGACTTCAACACGCTTTCCAAATGTGACCCCGACTCAGCTTTGCAGGGCTTTTGCACCGCCGGAAGCGCTCCTTCTACTGCATTTTCATCTCCCACCAGTGGCCGAGAAAAGTTGCAATGTTTTTCGTTTGGGTTTCATGCGGTTTCATGTTGATATTCCTTTGATGCAAGTTTATCGGAGGAACATCGAATTCAAAAAAAAACGGTTCCTCCCGTTGGGGAGGTGTCTCCGGTACGCTGTTTCGTCTCCAAGGTGGGTCTCATCAGAGCATCCAGACCCTGAGGGCAAACAACTAGCAGTGCTACAGGAATGTTTGACGAAGATTTGTGATGGAAGCATCGAGGTCATGAACGATGCAGCCTCCCAGCTCTTTGGAGACATCAAGAGCCTAAGATTGTCCAAGACTTCGCAATTTTTGCGCTGAGTGCCACCCGGGGGGTTCGTTTTCGAGGGTCAAAGAGCTGCTGCGCTAGGCCGAACGCACACAGAAAGAGATCAGAAATGACCTACACATTGCCACACCCAATCCTTTTCCATCCTTTTACTACTAGCTTGGCTTGACCTGAATGAGCTACTGGTACCAAAGTGCTTCGTTTGCCAAGGAGGTTATCGCCTCAGCAGCAGGCGCGCTTGCAGGAGGCCTACATATGGCTGGATTGGATAAGTATTCCTCAGATCCGCGAGCGTTCGACCAGCCATGGGAGCACGAGAACTGACTCGCCCATGCACAGCATTAGCTTTCGGACCTCCCTGCGAAGCTTTCGCTTCCGGACAACTTCAACAACCACGATGACAGACCCTTGTCTCAGTACCAGCTCGCCTGGACTTGGTGAATGTGCTAGCGAGTCAACGAATGGTGGAGTTTGCAAAAGCTGTGGGTGCTTGCCGCATTGGAGAACCCAGCACGAAAACTCGGGTCGAGGAGTTTGAGAAAAGGTTGGGGCCCCTTCACGTTCCAAGTGGTTGATGTTGTTGCTTTTGTTCTGGAGACGCAAGTCCCAAGGAACAAGAGAAGTACATCCTATCGATTCCTTCCTTCGTCCAGGCCTGCCAAGTCTTTGTGGCTTTAGTCCCTCCAGTCCCTCATTGGGACACTGATCAGCTCTGCATCCCGGACGAGTTCGGACGGTGTCTTCTTTCGTCGAAGGGACTTCGCATTCAGATGATCAGGAGCGCAGAATTAAACATTGTTTTGGGTTTTTGTAAGCAGGCAACCTTTGCAAGCTGAGAACTGCTGACTAAATTCCGGTGTGATATGATATGTGGTTCCTTTCTCCGACCGAAAGCCCTCAAAGCTACTTTTGGAACAATTCCGGCAACCGGATCCAGGAAAGCTGTTGAAAGCTTTTCGTATAGATTATGAATTGCATATAATTGCATTGATTTGCATTTGTTTTTCCCTTGGGTAGCCAAGCCAAGGCAACTACAGCAGTTGGTTCACGAGAGGCTGGTGCCGAACTGAGCTTTGGTGCAAGATGATGCTGGGGAATCAGGACAGGGCACATGCTGTGAGGAGCATGGAAACAAAGCATTCAGAAGCTAGTGCATTGAACGGTAGACCATGGTAGACCCATTGAACTGGTTGTGTGATATCACTTGGTAAATTGATATCTCCTGCCTTTCAAAGCTCAATTGCCGCTTTCAACTAACAGAGCTTCATGGGCCATTCCGAACACCTGCAGGATATGCCAATCCTTGTCATCTCAGCTGGTCTTAATCTGTTTTGCTCCTTTGATCCCCTTTGGGTCTTTTGGATTGTTTTGGTCCTGATCTTGGGGCCGTTTTGACCGCCACATCGCACGGCTGAAAAAAAGAAAAGGAATGAAAAACACGAGCGCCTCAACCAACAGGTGATCTCCGGCGGTGACAAAGCGGACTTCGCGCGACCGGTGAACTGGGTGGATTGCTTGCCACATGAAGGGGACTTCTCTTACGATGGAGACCTTTCACTCGTGACCAGCATTTTCGAGCAAGCCTTGGCCTACAAGCTCCTTTGGCCCCTTGTTTTGCACGTATTCTTCGGGCGAAGAATGGCGGTGCTTGAACGAGTGGGGGAGGTTCACGGTTCAGGATGCTTTGCAGGAACTACTGAGAAAGATGATGAGACATGATAAGAATCCGCGGGCAGTTATATAATTATACATACTTAAAAAGTATATATAGACACAGAAGCCTCAAACCAAGAGTTAGATGCAGCTGACAGGTGTGATTTCAGGATCTAGTAGGTGGGCATTTCTGCATGGCTTCGCCAAGTTTGATCGTTTCAGGCTCCAGATGGAAGGCAATTGGGACTTGTACCGCTATTTCCTGGCCCGACGAGAGAGTCTCATCGGGCAGGCTTTGGAAAAACGCGCCTTGGGCGAATTTCTGGAGGACTTCCATTTCGACGTCGACGCGAAGACCACGACGATGAGCCCTCTACTGTGCGCCTGCTTGTCCGGGGATTTGCAGCTGGTGAAGACACTGCTGCAGCAGGAGGGCTTGAACCTTCATACTCCATTGAAGTCAATGATGCAGGTGGGAATTATTGTTTTGATTGTCGGCCTTTTTTCGGAGAATCCAATACATTCACAAACGGACCACAGCCGCTTGTTACATACGAGGGTAATTATTACACTTCTGCGGACGTGTGTGCTGGGCTACACACGGGTTGCATGGTGGAAAGCAGAAATACCATGAAATAACACCATTCTATTTGGAACTATGTATGTCCGCCCGGCCTTGCTTAAGGTCATTATTTTTGCGTCCAGTCACCAAATCATTTCTGGGGGTTTGCCAAAAGATCAGTGTTGTTTTCCGGTGAGGTGGGCATTGCTGAGGGTTTGACAGCTCTTCACGTACTGCTCATGCACGGCTGGCGCTGCCCCGGCGTCTTGGAGGTGGTGTTGGAGGCCAAGGCTGACGTGAACCTCGTATCAAAAGGCAGGAGCTTTAACATAAAGGCAATTTATTTTTTCCCCGCAACGTTTCACTTCTAGGACACCAGAAGCAAATCATGAGTGTTGCACATTCTCTGGGTAAGAAGCATTGAAGCAGACTGGCCCAGCCTTTCAAGTAAAGTCAATGTTTTTTTCCCCGAGGCGGCCTTGTTGAATGTGGCAAAAGTTTCAGGTTCAAGAGTCCAAGAGGTTGTGAAATCATGTTTGGCGTGGCGTGGATGTGCTTTGCAGGTATACCTGTCCTTGCCTACTGCCGCAGTTCGGAGGACGTAGAGTTGTTGGTAAAGCACCAGGCCAGACGGCAGCACCTGTGAGGGATGTTGCCCAGCAAGTGCTACAGACATTTTTGGGGACTCTATAGAAGGGATCAAGGGCACCAATGATGATTTTCTTGCAATTTTTGCATGTTTTGGAGGCTGATGTTAACAAAGCGGCCCCTCCTCTCGGAGTGCCAGTGTTGGCTTTGGCAACTGGAGACTCGGAGAATTAGCAACGCGTTAGATGTCAAAAGGTTTCCATGCGAGTGTGTTGTATGGGCTGTGGATGCTCCCACCTTATTTTATGCGGCCCCCCTTCGACGATATGCCAAACCCGAATCGCATAGTATGTCGACCAGATGTTGATAGATTTTGACAGTTCATCATCAGCCTATTTCCCCAGTCTTTGAAGCGATATTGAGATGATTGGATGACCATTGCTTGCGAGGCGAGAATTGCAAGCCGGAGGTCATTGACTCACTCTTGGAGGCCCGTGCCGACCCCAATGGCCGCTCGGGCGGCATCGGTGCCACACAGCCCTTGGCCCTGCTCTCCATGAATGCGGCCTCCAACCCGCATGCAGCCTGGAGGATGAGTTACTAATCCATGTGTTGTCCCGCTTTTTTTTAAGTTGTTGCTTTTTGGGGGGGGGGCATGTGCTTGTTGGGTGTGTTATACCGTTTCAGTGTTATACAGCAGGTTTCGGTGAGGTTTCTTCGGCAAGGTGGCCCTAAATATTTGCTGACTTGCCGGAAGCATCGGAAGCATGAACAGGCAATGGAAGTGGCCAAGATGTTGGTCTTGGCGAAGTCGGACATCAATCAGGTGTGCCGGGCCAGCGGATTGTTCTACGGCCTGGAACTCTTGAACCGTCCTTTGGCCTGAAGTGTGTCATGTCCTTTGGCTTGAACCGTTCATTCCTTTTCTTCCGGTGTGTTGATTCAATGGGTGGGGCAATCTCAAATCTGGCCGGAGGCACGGGGTTTCCGAACAAAAACTGTCATCACAAATATGTGGTGATTGTGGCATTGTGGTGGGCAATTTTTGCTAGCCAATGTTCGACGATAGTCACAAACCCTATCCAAAGTTGTTGGAGCCCAATTCCTGTGCAGCCAAAGCGTGCCATGGTTTTGTCGAAGATACAGCTCTATACTGTAGATGGGTGCTGGCATGTGAAATTCCAAAATGCGTGTTTTCCCTGCATCGCGCATGGGTGGGTGAGGTACATATCTTCGTTTTGCCCGGCCACGGTCGAATTTGATGCTGCTCACTGCAGAGTGGAGCACCACACCCTTGGGCCTCTTGGAAGGGACAGCGACGATCAGAGCACCGCTGTTCTGATGGTCTGATGAAGAACGGAAAATAGACTTGTGGCCAGCGACCCACCGCAGTTTACATTGTTGAAGCTGCCTGCTGGACCTGTTTCATCATGTCTCATTTGGTGAGCCAATAGAAGCTTGCTCCTAGGTTTTGCGTGCATGTTCGGCAACCGCCAGCTTGTGGAGCTTTTGCTGAAGGCTGGATCCAGCTTCACCACCCGAGGTGTTTTGAAACAGGGCGAGTGGTGGCCGATCCCGGATTCGCCGACCTAGTTGTTTAAGTTTAACTCAGGTGCTTGGTGCCCAAGCTCAATACAGACCTAGTCGTAATATTGTCATATTGTATAATATTGTTCCATACCTTCCATATAGAGAGGATCATGTTGTTCAGCGCAGGTGGTACGCTCAGAGAAATTATCCATCATAGATGATACAATAGATGGCATCGCACCACATCCCCATTTGCCATGAACTTATTGGTTTGATATGCTTTTTGCTTTGTGCCTACTTTGCAAGCTGAATCGACGGGTTCAGGTCTTGTTCCCTCCGAGGCACGTGGAGACCTGCACCGAAGGAATGCCCGTGGGCACACGCCGCTGCAGCTCGCCAAGTCCCAAGCGTCTTGGCGACAGGTGAGTGGGTGAAAGAGGCAGAAGCCGAAGACCCGGCGGAGTGAAAGACCCAGACATGGTGAGAAACAAGCGCTTGGCTACTTTGTCTCAATATGAATGAAGGAGGCCTCAGATCACAATATTCTCAACAATGAAAGAACTCGTGCTGGTGCATCCTGTTTGGGTACACCCCACCCCGAACATCAAATCCCAGTTGCTGTGGTCAGATGACCTGGGGCTCTCCAGAGGAGATGGCCACGCACATACGGTTTGTTTTTGTCCTTTTTTGTCCCATGTCACCCAGAAACACTTATATATACATTTGCACTTATAAATAGCAGTAGGATTTCAGTTCTCATACTCCAGTAGACAATAGCACTGCCGCCCTATTCTCACTCCTTGTGGCATTTGGAGAGATGAATTGAAGGATCGAGTGGGACAGGATCCTGCCTCGCAATTGGTTGATGTTAGGGGATTATTCCAGAATAATACTGAACTACAGTATGGTATATGATTCAATGTTGATATTGAACCGCACCAACGGAACGGCCATCCGCTTGGTCCTGGAAGACGAAGGGCTCAACCTCGGTCGATTCATCCTTGACACTTCAGGAAGTCATTGATGCCATTGAGGACTACATCCAGGATGAGGAAGCGCTCTTGTGGCACGTGCATTCGTCTGATCCGGTGGTCGAATGGGTTTTCTGAGGAGGCGGAGGGCAAGCGAAGGAACATAATATCAACAGGTGTTTATTGAAAGAGCGTTTGTGGCTCCAGCCAATGTAAGCAGATGCTTGAAGTTGATCAGGCCTCAATAGTTGATTTGGCCCATGGCGTGGCCCAATCAAACCTCAAAGCAGGTACTGGATCAGACGTCGGCCATGGCAGGTACACAGAGTTGATCAGATTTGATCACATCAGCAGTTGTTTCCACTTGCCATGCACTACCAAAAATACAATAATAGTAATAGTAATAATAATAATCATCATCATCATCATATGTTTTCTCCTTTTCTGTGCGCTTTAGTCGGACATAAGTGTGGGTCCCCGTTTGCATTGTTAAGCAAGGACCTTCTCCATATGCCTCGTAGGGCCTTTTGACCTAGTAGTTTGAAAGGAAAATCCTCCAGCAGCTGCTTGGGACGGGCGGACCAAGAGGCACTGCCGGCATTGCCGACAAAGCCCCAACGAAGTCATCATTAGTCACTCTGCATTGGAAGCACTATGGTGCAAGCGCAAGTCTTGAGCTTGCAGACCTTTGAACGTCAACTAGCTGCATCACAACTGCCTTTGCTCTAGTTTTTCTTGACGTTATTTGTTTCAATCTGCCACAGCTTCGCACATGGAGCAAACGAAGAATCAGGCAATTTTATAAAGTGGAGTCGACAAGCAAGTGTCAACCAGATACAAACTGCCTGCATCACAACTTTGCCCCAGCGATTCTTGCTTCAAGAGCACCACAGGACACAGCACCGCTTGGAATAGACAAAGAAACTGGCAATGATTCCACAGCCTCCTCAACATCCACAAAAAATGCACATCCGTAGCAGCAGTCGTAGTACTGTAACTGTTGTTGTTGCTGTTGGTGGTGGTGGTGGAGACTTGTACAAACGTCCTGAGGCTACTAACACGACCACTGCAACTACTACTGTGCTGTAGTGTACAGTTGTACTATACTATACTGTACTGTACTTGACTGTACTGTACTGTACTGTGCTGCTGCTGCTGCTACTACTACTATTGTGGCTGAGGGGGGGTTCAGCAAAAACCACGGGTCGTTTGTTAGAAGTATTTTTAAGTCTGAGAACATGGCAGTGTAGTTCCGGCTTTGGTGTTGTTGTCTTCTGTGAGTTGCGGAGTCTCTGGCAAGTGACCTGTTGCTGATTTTCAACCTTCGCCATTTACCCACCATTGTTAGTACTTGCCACAAAAACTACTACTACTACCTGTGCGTTACCTGTGTGCCATTACTGTGCTGCTGCGCTGCTGCTGCTGCTACTACTACTACTACTCCTCCTCCTGCTGCTGCTGCTACTGCTACTGCTACTGCTACTGCTACGACGACGATGACTACTACTGCGACTCCCACCACGCCTGCTATTGCTACTTCCTACTGCTTACTTTCGTGGGACTACGAACAGTGGCGGCAAATAGAAAGGCTATGCAAAGATGGAGGCGGGGTGAAGTGAAAGGTCTTGGCTTGTTGCTGCGGGCAAGTGCTTCTTTTGACTTACTGTCCTTTTGGAACCTCATGGTGTAACATATAGAATGGTGCCAATGTAAACCTGCTGCCAACTGCTTGACCTTATGCACCAAGCCTGTCGCCATAAACCAGAGAAGGGTGCCACTAGGAAGTTCTTGCGTAGATTAGAAGCAGCCTTGAAGAAGGTCCTGAATTTGAAGCGCACTGGCCAAAATATGTTGAATCCCGGTGGGTCATGCGCCTAGATGTTTTGAAGAGAGCTCCTTCGGAGACATTGTGCCACACATGAACCAGTGCAGCGCGGAAGTGAACCGTGGGTTGCTTGTTTGGGTCAATGGGTTGAAGTACAAGTCTGGACAAGAATCAGCAACCGGCAACAACTGCCTCATCTCTTCTCTTGCAAGTGCAATGGCCTTGTCCAACTTGCCCGTTGGTGCAACACGGAGTCACTGAGTTGAAACGCCTCTTCCAAGATTTGGACGGTTTGCGAGTCTCGGAAAACAACTGTTTGACTTTCACTGGGCAAGTGCGGTGGTCCATCCTTTTGGTAGACCCAAGCGATTTTACACTCGTAGTCGAAGTCTTGGAAAACTCTTGGCAACATGGCGTGGTCCATGGAAGTGGCCCCAGGCAGGTTGTGGTGGAGAATGTCGGCAACTACCATTTGCAGCCCTTCGTGTTGTGACACAGAAGATGTGTACAAGGAAAAGGTGTGTGGATGCAAGCCGGGGGGAGGCTGCCACAATATACTATAGAGCAAAGAAGGGCGCCGCTAAACAACGTAGACCAGCGATGGGTGATATATAGACCAAAGAAGGCTAGGTAAACCAGAGATGGGACACTGTAGACCAAAGAAGTCAACCACTAAACTAGGAAAAGGGGTTTGTCAGTGCGTGACCTGCGCGGTGGTGAAGAAGTACTGCAACGTGTGTGTGTGTGCGTTGGCTTAGTTTGCCTTGAAAAGGACATATGTATGTGTTGAGTATTTCTGGTGGACAAGAGGAGGGTCGTCAACACAATTTTGGTTGTTTTCTGAGGGGGTCAGACCGACTAACAACGGGTTGTTTGTCCTTGTATTGTTCTGATTCTTGTTGTTGTTGTTGTTGTTGTTGTTGTTGTTGTTGTTTCTCCTCTTTGTTGTTGCAGTTGTTGTCTCTTGCCTTTCTCCGCAGCACGTCTTGGATTGTTTAAAAGTGTGTTACTTCTTTCGGCCCAGTGATCAGCAGAAGCAGCTGCGAAAAAGCGACCTCCCGTCCCATACCGTCGTTTTCACGGCTTTGCGCGGGACATCGTAGGCCGTAGGCAAGCCCCCACCGCAATGGCAGTGGCAATGGTTTAAGGCCCAGCAAGCGAACAGGCAATCTGCAAACCACGGCGTTCCATCATGGTTGCACGCGAAACGGCGGCCTCGAAGCACGAACTTACATACCATTGCGCCAGTTGAACGTGCAGATGACAATGACGTTGATGATGTCGATATTTTGATCGGGTCGTTTTGCTGACGAGTGATTGGTGATGTTTTGGTGGCAGATGACGAATGAAGCACCAAAATCACAAAAGTAAAATGATTATGTTACGTTTGGTGGTGCAAAGCGGGTGGAAACAACTCCTGGCCTGATCCAATCTACGCACCTGCCGTGGCATGGTTTTGATCAACTCTGTGTACCTGCCATGACCGACGTTTGATCAAGTAAGTACTTGCTTTGAGGGCCTATTTGGCCACGCCGTGGGCCAAATCCACTATTGAGGCCTGATCAACTTCAAACTCCTGTTCCTACCCAGTCGGCTCTACAGTAACCGGGAATGGTTTCCCTACTAAACCTGAACAGGTGAAAAAAAGGTCCTTGGTTGCCCAGAGAAACTGGGGGAGTCAGTGCTTACATGGGCTGGAGCCACAACAAAGGTTAAACAAACAAACATTGGTGTTACGATGTTATGTCTGAACGCACCCTCAGAAAACCTAGGATCGTCCCACCGAATCCAGGCATGCCGCAGATGGCGGTTGTTGGCCGTTCGCCTTGCAGGCCAAAAAAAACCTGCAAGCATTGGACGAATGCATGGATACATGCAAATGTGATCAAACGATATCAAACGTGTCAATTCCACCATCCAGAAGAAATGCACTAGTCACCAGTCACATGGGCTTGACTCTACATTCCCAATGTTTGCTGCGACGGAATTCATCAACTCACACAGCGGCCAGAGACCTGTAGGATGTAGGCCCCAGGTGATGAGCCTGGTTGCGAAGGATGATCCATATGAGCAGCGCCAATACTGACACTGATATGGCATTATATAACTGCGACACCATTCTGTGAAATTTGGACTGAGTGTGAAGTCAGTTGCGATTTCCATTCATTTGCAGGGCGTCCAAATGTGCATTGGGGGCGCGTTTTGGGGCGAAACTGTTCGATTGTATGTGATCTTCGTGCTGCACTGATCGATGTGGACAAAGACTCCCAAAGGGAGCTGTTTGCCACCCAGGTAGCTGCCACATTTCTCCGGGAAGAAACAAAAAGTTGGCGATGTGAGACATATGTGCAAGTAGTAGAAGGCCAATAGAAAGTTCCTTCCGAAGGCTTCCCAGATTCAGTGTACAGTTGGATCAGTTTGGACCCGTACTTCTTTCACGTTTTTGCCAACGGTTCGGGCAAAGAAAGGATGCATGCACCCCGAGATCGTTCTGTGAACAGCACGCGGAGGAACTAGTGCGGCAAGCAATTGGAGTACGATTTGGATTGCGGCAGACATGTTTTTCTTTTTGAGGGGATATTCGGAATGCGTTGCTTTGTATGTTTGAGGGGGTCTTGCGTATTGCCATGCCAATGTTGGCTGTGTGTCCCGTGTGCCTTTGCGAAGCTGTTGGCCTACGGCATGCCAAAGTGTTTAAAGCGGTCAAGATTCACCAAGACCTCTGGTGTAATCATCCCTACTTCGGAGTGGCCAAGTTCGGGTCTCACGCCCTGCAGATTGATGCAAGAAAACTGGAGACCTAAATTGTATATTCAGCAAGGCTCCTCATGTACGACATGGAGTTGACGCCACAACCTGTCAAGACCGGCCATTCACTGTTCCCGGAACTGTTCACTGTGTTCTCCTTTCTCCTTCCAACTGCAGTGGCTTACTCGATGACGGCCCTGACCATGGTGGAGTGAGTACAGAGCTGTGAAGACCGATCCACCGAAAGGTCTCCGAGACAAGGCGATGCGGTGTCGGTCACGTCTCGAGATGCCGGTTTTTTTTTCGGGAAACGACATGGAAAGGGACCTGGACCTGGGTGATTTTTCGTGATGCCGTTGGACCAGTGGATTTACTGTATTATTACTATACCATGTTCATCCATTTTCATCCATTTTCCAATTGGTCAGGTCGGAGATGGGAGGGATGTTACGGGATTGGCTTTAAGGCATCATGTCCAGGTGTTTCTGTGTGTACGGACTTTTGCAGCTGATGCTGATGATGCTGCTGGTGGTGGTGACGAGCCGTTGATTTTCTCGATTTCCCACGATTGCTAGTGTACAATTCTCCTGTGTTCATCCAATTGCTCACTGGCTCAAAAGCAGGGTCGCGACTTCATGCGACGACGTGAAAAGAAGGCGGAACTGCGGAGGGGATCCACACCTGGGTCAAAACATCGCAAATCACTCGAGCTGTTTCTTTGCATGTTTTCAGCACGTTCGCTCACAATAACGGCGCTTGCGACTTGTTGCGACGGCGCTTGCCACATCACATGACCGTTTTTCGCGACGGATCGATCATTGGGAGGACCACGCCAAAGCAGCCCTATCGGCGGACCGCTCATCGTCTATCGCTGTTAACAGCTTTGTCACCAGATGCGTGGCGACTGGAGGCTTAGTGGTTTTCGCTGTGGCGAGCGTCCATTGGCAGAGATTGTTATATCTCAATAGTTTGCGGATGTCGAGCTCCCACTCTGTGCTTTGATAGCGTTGGCTGGTGCCCTGAACAACCTGGTGCTGTTGCGTTGAAGGATGTACGATGTACTTTGGCAGTTCCGCTGGTCACGTGACTACATCACTCTCCTAACTTGCACATCATTCCACTGAGGCTGGCCTTTCTTTGGCTCTCCTTGGCCGCCCTGATTTGGACGCACCGAGTGATGGCCACGTCCGCCTTCTGGAAGCCAAGACCGATCTCAACGGCCACGTGGTGGCCACACTGCAGAATCAGGCTTACGGTCGGAGGGCGAGCTTATCGGGCCCACAGGTCTACTTTAAGGAACCTAATAGCCATGGCCTCCAACTCTATAGTAGCTTCTTGTTACCAGTAGCGATGGCCTCCAACCTAATAGCGATGGCCTCCAACCTATTTTTAGAGGGAAGGTTTACTGTTTCCGCTTGTGTTTCGAAAGCTTTCGGGGTGCTTGTCCATTGGGATCCACAGACCATGTTGAGGAAAAAGGCCACTCGTGGTTGCGGCATGTACCGTAAGTGCTCATGGACGTCCCTGTCCACTACCCGAATGCCCGCCAGTCGTTGGGTTCCAATGGGATGGGGATAACGCAGCACATTTGCAGCATGTACATCAGACCTTCTACACGAACACGACTCGGATATCTTCCATGTCCTGGGGGCATTTGGGGGCAAGCATGGCCAACTCCACGGTCATCCTCTCAGGTGTCCCCTCCAACCGTTCCAGGAGTTGGGTTTGAAAATCCTCACCTTGGACCGCTGCATCATTGGAGCTCAGTACCTCCAGGAGGAGTTCCAGGACCAGGCACAGATGGGGAAGACAGCCGGCTCCACCGTTCCAAAGGACCAGCGGCTCCACCCCACGATTCACAAGGCAGCTGATCAATCGAACCACACATCAACTCGCATGTTATATCATGTGTCATCATATCAATGCAACACCACGTCTTAGGACGTTTTACATCAATTTTGTTGTGTTCTTTTTTCATTTGTTTGTTGTGTAAAGACCCGGCGATGCGTGTCACCGGACTTGCGGACTGCACTGTGCTCAAGAGCAGAGCTTGTTCCAAAAACTTAAGAGTGGGAAGATTTGGCGGTGTTTGTTACGGTTTGTTAGAAGAGTCAGAAGATGCCACGCATGTTCAAACCATTGGAGGACTTCAGGCTACAATGCCATGGTGTTGACAGGTTTTGACCCATACACAGTACTGTATGTTTTCCAGGAATCCACTCAGCAAGTCCCATTTGCAACAAGATGCAGCGGCTAGAGTTCTGGCAGTTCAGAGTTCCATCCACAACATCTCCGATATCAAGCAGAGAGAGTTGCACTGTAGAGAATTTCTGCAAATGGAGCCAGCCATGCCGCAAGTCGTGGTACTTGGAAGATCTAGCTCGGATGCTCCGGCGGATGGAAGCTCGCACGAGACGCAAGATGATCAGCCTGATATTCATCATTTGAAGGACTGAGTTTTCACGAAAGCTAGCGAAGCTAGCTGGAGTTACTCTTGCGATAGCAAGGTTTCTTTCGATCGGGTGCAAATCCTAACCCCTGATTTTTCAGGTCGAAGCCCCCCCCCCTCCTCCCCCCCCCCCCCTCCCCTCCCCTCCCTCCCTCCCTCCCTCCCTCCCTCCTCTTCGCAAGTTCGACTCCGTCCTGTCGTCGCTCTTTGGCATGCGGTTAGCGTTGCGTATCTTGCGGCCGCACTCGTTCACTCTCACTCTCACTCTCACTCTCACTCTCACTGTCTCTCTCTCTCTCTCTCTCATCTCTCTCATCTCTCTCTCATCTCTCTCTCATCTCTCTCATCTCTCCCTCATCTCTTTCTCATCTCTCTCTCATCTCTCTCTCCTCTCTCTCTCTCTCTCCTCTCTGTCTCTCGTCTTTCCGTCTCTCTTCTCTCTCTTCTCTCGCAGGAGGATCCGGGCAAAGAGCCACATATAAAGGACTCTTCACCCCTGACTCCAAAAAGAGCGCCGTGTTTTTTCCTACCTCGCTGCCCTCCACTTTCCCATTCTGGAGCGCTAGCTTTCGCCCCCCCTTGGCCTCAAGTGTAGTTTTAACTGCCGGGAAGGGGAGATCGAAAGACATAATTATAAATTATAGAAGACATAATGGAATCCCTAGGCTTCCAACACTCATTAATTTAATAGGCCTTACCGAATCAACTAAGGATTTTACACTACAAAAACCATGTCAACCATTTTTTAAATGGTCTTGGAAGCCTAGGGGAATAACAGCAGTTGATAGATCTGGCAATAAGCAGATAAACCTCAACTAGGATAGTATCCCGTAACCATTAGCCACTTAGATCCATTAAAACTTTAAACTTTAGACCATGCCAACCCTGCGGTGGCGGGCAGCTGGACTGCCAGTGCCTTTCAGAGAGAGAGAGGGAGGAGAGATAGAGTGCGCACCTCAGTGTCCAGTGTTTGAACATGGACAGGTGGCCGCCTATGTGGCGCGAATGGAGATTGTACAGCCCGAAGCTTTGAGAGTCACACGCGCACACAAGGCCTTTCAAGGGTGTGCACGAGCACTGCGCTCGCGTAGCGGCACGGTGGGTGATCTCTACATGGAGAGCTTCATGAGCGACAAAGTCTCGTGCTTTTGGTCCCATTCCTGGCATGGCAGGACGTGGATGAAGATCCTCTCCCTCATGATGCGTTACAATGGCTTGCCATCAGTTCTGGTCGGCTCCTTCACCGCTTTGATCATGATGGGGCTGTTTGCCGGTGGCCTTTTGCCCGAAATCAGTCGCTCTAGCTGGTCACATGAGCATTGGTCAACCTGGTCACTAGCCAGTGGCTTCATAGCAGCTGTGATCACATTTCTCTTGTGGCAGCCACGGCAACTGGTCTTTTTTGACCGAATTTGCATCAACGAGAATGACGATGATGAGAAGTTTGCGAGCATTTTTAGTTTGGCGGGCATTCTGAAAAGGTCAGACAAAATGCTTGTTCTTTGGGATGCCACATGGGGCGATCGGTTGTGGTGTTTGTTCGAGCTGGCTGCTTTTGTGAAAAGCAAACACGTGAGTGAACAAGTGCTTCTCATCAGACCGACATTTCTTGGTCCATGTTCAATCGTGCTTTTTGGTGGCATGTTCCTGGTGATGCTGCCCTTGACAACCGTTCCAATACCCGATCCTGCCCGTTTGGGGGATTACTTTATACTCATCCCCCTCTCTGGTGCAATGGTTTTTCTATTCATCACCGGATACTTCATGGTTGCCGCCTTCCGCGGGTATTTCCGCTCAGTCAGGGCCTTGCAGGTGAAATTGCGCAACATCAGCTTTGACAACACCAGATGTTCCTGTTGCGATGCAGGCCATGTACAAGACGGAACTAAAATCTTGTGTGACAGGCAAATCGTCAAGGAATGTGTGTCTATTTGGTTTGGTAGTTCAGAGGCCTTTGAAGACTGTGTGCGGTCTGCCGTTTTGGAGACGCTGGTTGCAGGATTGCAGGAGAGAATTTTCACCAGAGGGTGGAGCCTGTCAGTGTCAGTTCCCCTGCTTTGGGCCTTCCTTGATTTGACGGTCTCCCATGCGATGGGCGGCCACAGAATTGTCGCCATCGCTCAGTTGGTTGAGGGCTTGGTTCTGTGGTTCCTTTGTGTCCCCATCTTTGCAGATGTGGGCATGTTCTTTTTGCGCAGGTATTGCCAGCAAGGTGCTTCCACCATTCACGAGATTCTAGAGAACGTGAAAGTTGAGCTGATAGGAGTTGCTTGCTTTTGTTTCGTGGCCGGAACTTGGTTCTTTCTGTGCTCAACACGTCCCGGGGATGAACGGCATGCTGCGGCTGCGTTATTTGCGGGAGTGTGGGGCACATTGGCACTAGGCCATTTCATGTACAAAGTTTTAAGAAAGCATGGGCAAGAGCGCTAGATCTCCTGCCTGATCGGCACAAATTATGCTTGAACGGCATGTGGAGAAGTGAAACAAGGACGAAATAGTCACACGGTTGCATCGGGGGTTGCAGGGTTGCAGTCCGTGGCGTTAGGTAGAAGATGTAGAAGCACATTGGCATGCAGGATTGTATCCAGACAATATATGTGTATACTGTAATTGCATATGGCATATGCATTATAATGGACAGTGGGGAGGCCAGGAAGATCCGAGCGATGATTTTGGGCCTCTATGCGCAGGACAATCCCTCAAACCCTTCAAAGTAGTAAGTGTGTATATGTGTTTCACAGTTGGCAGTGGACTTTACCATCAACACGTGTTTCCTGCTGCAGGGCGACAACTCTTAGTTCTGGCTCAACGATTCATTCATGTCCTGTTCTTTGGATTCGCTAGCTGTACATGATAGATGTATGGTTGGAGAGTCTTGATCCTTCGAAGTCCCACCTTTCACAGGCGGCGTTCACAGGCTTTGCGCTGCAAGAAGCCGTGGTCTTCGTCAACCGATCGCTGAGGATCCGACTCCACGGGACTGGACCCGGGGGGTTGGGAGCGTTGCGATTTTTACCCTCTTTGGGCATGTTGGAGACCTTGCCAGATCAGAAGTGTTTTGAAGAATTCCTGCTGAGCTATTTGGTTGAGCTTCACCCATCGAGGATGTCGAGGGGAGAATAACTCATGACCACCCTCTTGGCCACAGTCAATTCATGAAGTAAACCTAGATCAGATAATTCAATCATGTTCAACCACTCCATGGCATGATGCGGGCTCCGAAGACTGAGCGCCGTGAGGCGGGTCCTGCAGCTGGGTTTGGGCGCAGCTTCCGTGCCTAACTTCTTGCGGTCCCGGCGGATCCAGGCAGGGGTGCGCACCAGTGCACGTGGTGGACATTCGCACTGCGAGCTTGTTAAGTCATGTTAAGTCGTTTTTGGAGACCGGGGCAACCAGAGAGAAGCTGAAGGGATGTAGTGCTTCCAAAATGTTTGGCAAGTTGTTTAGATTCCTTTCATGCATGGATTGCTGGGTGAGCGATTGCAGCGATGCGAGGCCCTCACAGTTGGATTCCATTTTTTGGGAAGCGGAACCGGAACCCCACAGAAAAGAAGATAAAGGAGCGAGCGGGGAGATTGAGCAGGATTGGAATGTGAAGATTGCCTTCCTTGCGAGGCATTCCTAGAGGTCAGGTGATTTTGTTCGCAACCTGGAAGGGTGGAGCAAATGTGGGCTGTGCTTGAAATACATTTAGTTGTTTACCCTGACTGTGTATGAGTGGAAGACCCTTTTTGGCGCCCGAAGCCCTAATGCCCAAGAGAAGAGGTGTGAACAAAGCCAGGCTTGTAGGCTCAAGAGCAACGGCAACACCACATCCGCCCATCTTGATTCAGGTGGATGTCGTTGAAGTGTCAGAGACAGTGATTGACATGGCTGAGAAGCATTTTGGTTTCAGCTCCTGCAGAAGAGGCAACACAAAAGCCTGCCAACAAAGACTCGTGAATGAAGTTGGTATATTTAGTTAGCTATTTTGTAGAAAGCAGCTGATGGACAAACAAGCTCCAGAAAATGGACCGTGGTTTATCATTGCTGCCTTATTGGTGACCAACTGCCAGGAATCCAGGAAGTCACAGTAACTCATACTGAAAGGCTTTCCAAGGAGCAGTTTCAATGTCCTTTTCAAGAATTCCATTCATTCGTTTTTGACCTCGGTCTCACCTGAGGATTCGGCCGCACTGTGCAGGGAGATGGTAGGGAGTTCCTTTTTGGTCGCGATCGGCGAGTCTTGGAGCACAGAACGGATCCAGGTCTTTGGGGCACCGAATCACCATAGTTCACAATAGTTGCAAAACCAGATGGAGGCAGACATGTTTCGGAAATTGCTGGTCTATCCAATTGTCTTCATTGTACTGGAGTGTGCAGGGAGAAATTTGTTGATGTTTGACCCCCATTTAAGGCCAAACAAGATATCTTGTCTGAGAGAGGGTGTGAGCTTATCAGTGGAACAGTGGGCCTGTGCTGTTTGAATTGTCCATCTTCATCTACATAATTTGCACTGGGATTTGATTTGGCCAGTGTTCTTTGCACAATTGTTCCTGTCTTGGGCTCTCAGCGGCTCCAAAATTAGTACAAAGTTTGCATTAAGTTCATGCGGAGCTGGGATGAGCTGGGCAAGTGGAACAGTAGCAGGATGGCTTCAGTTTGCCCCGGATTGAATGCTATTAGTGAAGGGTCAAGGCAGGGAATACACTAGACTTTTTGAGCCTGCCACGGAACAGTCTTCAGGGGACTGCAACGCAATTCTTCGTGATGTTCAGATGAGTTCTAGGAGTTGTTGAAGTACTACTTGGAATTGCCTGCAAGCGGTTTCAGCTGACTGTGTGTGTGTTGCCCTGCTATGGCCCTAATTATTGGCGAGAGTAGCTCGCTCACTCCCAAATTCAGTTGCACATGTCACATATATATATATATATTATATAGTCAGATTCAAGCTTTTGCTCATCAGGGAGCCCTGGAACCTTTGTTCTTGTCTATAGTCTATATGTCTATTGAATTGAAGTGACCCTGAAGGAGGTCAAACAAGTTTGCAAGAGACTAAGGATATGATTTGGTCATTAGTGACGTGTGCCTCGGACCGAGGAGGAGGGCTTGACTACTGAACTTAGATGACATGAATTGAAGCGTTGATTGAAGTGAAACCAGCACAACCCTGCGTGACCTTGAAACCATGCGAAATCGATGACCCGGAAACATTTTTTTGGAATTCTGTGCTTGAGCACATGCAGAGATACCTGTGAACCGATGGCCACCCTACAAAACGACTAGGAGGAATCAAATCATTTAGCGTCAGGAAATGAGAGAGAGGGAGAGGGGGAGGAATCGTGTTCCCTCCAAGTGGGGTCCCACTCCTGCCCTAGTAGCATCCTTGCTACTAGTAGCTTCTTGCTCCTAGTAATGGCCTCCAACCTAATAGCCATGGCATCCACCTAGTAGCGTCGTTGCTACTAGGAAATCAGTGATTGGGGATGAGAATGCGGATGACGTGGGCTCTTCCGCGTTCGCCACGGAGCTCGAGGTTTGTGGGGTCCAACCCTGGGCATCTTCACAGCCTGGAGGTCAGGGGGTGCGAATTCCAAACTGGTTTGCTGCAAGCCAGACACGTGTCGGTGCATGGTGAGGTAGAAGAAGATGTTGCGAACTTGTTGAGTTGCTGTTTCAAGAAGTTTGGAATTTGAGAGATCTTGAGAGATCACTTTCCTGAGCAGGGGATTGCTTCAAGAACCATGGGGGGCAGCCAATTGTCGAACCATGTGAAACTAAAGATTCAGCACTGGTGCACTGCACTTCCCCCATGCTGGGCAGTGGAGGTCTTCCAACGGATTCAGCAGCAGTGGCTTTGGCCATCTGGAGTGCTCATGGTGAACTTTGTCGGCCTCTGGGCGGATGGAGAAGGAAGATTTGAGCCTGAGGTGGGAAGTTGCACAAAGGACAATTAGCAAATAAATTCCAACACACATCAATGTAACAGGCATTTACAGTATACATTCCGATCCCCTGAGAGCAATGGAAAGAGCGATATATACATTGTGCCTGCACCGCGGGTTCCAAATCTGCGCCGCACCGATACACCGATATCCCCCCAGCCCCGGATATCGGCGTATCGGCGCCGCACCGATATCCCCCGCATGCACACTTCCATACCCTGTCATCTACCAAACCCTGCCCAACTGTTCAACAGCGTGTCATGTGCGAACCTATGAAATAGATGGGTGAAGGAAGACCCGAAATGGGGAACTGCAAACAAGGTTTGCAGAAAGGCCTCGATTTATTTTGGAGGGCCTTTGGGAAGATATACAATGTAATCAGCATATTCCACTGGTTGTGGTTTGCAGCCCACCTTTTTTGGAATTAACATGAGTACACCACTTATCGCGATATCATATCAAAGTGATTCAGTGTTTAAGTTCTCAGGCTTTCATTCTGGCCACCGCAGCCACATCAGCCGGAAGCTCGCGCGCACCTTGCGCCATGCTCCTTGGAACTCAACCACGTGATCAGCCACAGGGTCACCCACAGCCTTATAATAGAAACAACAGCTCAGCTCCTTGGAATCCAAAGATATCTAATCTAAAAGGTTTTTGATTTCAATGAGTTGTTTCTGAGATGGGAAGGTTAGGAGTGGTTAGGGAAGAAGGGAAGAAGCTTACAACATATTTTTGGAAGGTGAGCGAGGACGGGCATTTTTTGGCGCAACCAGCCAAGATTCGTGTCATGAGGGCTCCCAACTCATCGGATTCCATTTTTCTGTTGTAATTTCCAACTGTGCTTGACGATTCCTTTTCTGAGACACATCAGGCTTGTCGAGATTTTACCCCGCCACCACAACACCAGTGTTCCTTCGTGAAGGTTCAAGAGCAAAAATTATTTCCCCTTAGATTCATGCTAAAGAGCCGTCGAATTTCCTCCCTCCAAAGCTGGTCAAAGGTTGTCGTTATAGCCTAAACTAGCTGTCACTAGCTGCAACTAGCTTAATGGCTGAATTGACTGCCCCCCACTGGCCACTCCAAGTGGACTTGCTAACTGCTAATTCATGGAAGAAGAAGGAAAAGCAAACGTGTATACTATCGATACAGTGCTTTCAGAGTAGATTGCACAAACCCCAAGATGTCCTTATATGGGGTACACATAAACCACCTTTTGGGGATTGTCCCATCTACTCTGTGGATACATATGCATATTGATGTAGCATGATATCTCTTTCTTCCTGCCAACTGGCAGATGTGCAGAGCACTTGAGCATCCACCCATGATCCTCCTCCAAACTGAGGTCTTCGCAACGACGCGCTGTTTCCGTGATGAGGATCCGGCGGAACACCTGGACGCCGCGGCCAACTTGGTGCGAGTGAAGAATGGTTGAAGATCGGAGTAAACCTGCCACAAGGGTTTGACCTTTACATCCAGCCACACACTCCGCAGGTATGCTTGGCCTCAGACCAGGCGTTCCATTTCAACGTGCCAACGACCGGTGACTTCAGCA